CCACAATGCCTGGCCATTTTTTGGTTGCAGCCATCATTGTTGTTTGGCAGGCCCGGGCTGGGGATTCGAACCCTCCACCTTAGGTGTATGTGGCTGGTGCCTTAGCCGCTTGAGCCACAGGCGCCGAGCCCAGTAACAGTTTTTTAACTCAATTAGTTATCCATCTAGTAAGTTCAGTATTTGAAGTTTTTATAATAGAGGTTATAATTATTATATCAAGCAAGTTATTCACATCACAGGTTTATGAAAAGTTCAAAAAATAAGAATACGATTCTCATATCATATAAAATATAAATATGTGTACTTAATATTCTCTAGTGTTTTCATTTTAAATACTTTTCAATTTAAATATTTTTTCAGACAGAAATTATTTAGTGAATTTTTTTTTCTTTCACTTGTTTTGCAGTTAAAAATTGAATGTAAAGAAATAATGTAGGAGCAAATAAATGACTACCTAACCTATGAATGTGCATCATATCAATATTAATGAATAATTGATGTCTAGATGAAACAAAATTTAAAGAAACATGCTATATGTTTATCTGTATAAGGAAAGACTAGGTAGATAAATGAAAATGTACTTTTTAGTTGAATTAAGTCTAAGTTAATGACTATGTAGTCTATTTTAAGAACTTTCATAAATATAAAATAATGAAAAGATTTGAGTATATCAATGAGTCAATGAGTGAAGAGCACAATAGAGGCCTGTGATATGCTAGTGTCTATAGCTGGTAAATGATTTCAAGGCAGGGGTGAATTCAATGGAATATTTGTATAGTTACCAGTTAGCTTTTGGCCAGGGCCGGGTTTGAACCCACCACGTGTGGTATATAGGGCCGGGGCCCTACTTCTTTGAGCTACAGGCGCTGCCTTCGTCGTTACCAGTTAGGATCAGCTTGATTCACTAATGGGATTAAATACATTAAGTCCAAAGTAGTTCCACCGGGAAAAAAATATATAAATTTGGCTATTTATACAAACTGAATCGAACTAATTGACTAAGCCATTCAGGAAGCCTAAAATATTGCTCCTAAATGATGATGTTTTTAGACAAGGTGTGAAATCTCACACACTCCCTCACCTCTCCCACAAACATTTAATCACATACAGCTACTATTTGGAAGAAATGTGATGTGTCTGAAAAAAAAATTATGGTCTAATTCTTTCTTTGTATTAAATGTTCTTGTATGAAGTGATCTACATGATTGATGCTGGTGTCATTCTGTATTTCTTTCCCCATAACCATAATTTATGTTTCCTCAAATTAAAGTGGCTATTTTAAGCTCAAATAATTTATGTGGACAATAATGCACACTGGTTAAATTTTTGACTAAATCGATTGATTGCTTTTCCAAATGGGAAAACTTTAAGTATGTATAAAGACATAGATGCTTTGAAAGTATCATAATAATTTTCTAAAAACTAGAGATCCTTTGAAAAACATACATAAGCCTTAAAATCATGTGATGGCTTGTTCTCTAATTAACCTCTAATCTTATAGAAGAGATATGGGTGTAAAGTGTATGTTACATTTTCCTCCAACATTTAGATTGATTGCCAAGGTATATTATAACTAGATGGGTGAAAAAAGGACTTTACCTTGAAAAAGAGTGGCATATATGTGAAAGAAGCTATAGGATGCATGACACATTTTCTCCACCTTTAAACATGAATTAAGATGCTCACTATATGAACATTCTTCAAGTATAGATTTCATTCAAAATCCAAATTTTCCTGGATGGTATAGAAAATATCCTTTCATAAATTATTCCAGCATTATACAAGTATGTTTCAGATCCCTGATAGACTAGGCAAAAAGTCATCAGAAAAGGTTGTCGAAAGGTACTTCAGGGGAGTAGACATAAGGTATTAGAAGGAACATGATAAGGGAGATAAGAAATAAATAATGGGTTTCTTCCAATATCTGAAGAGAAACTATAGATATTAGTAGACAAATGAGATCTTCAACTGTGTAAAGGGAAGTAAGAATTACAGATGCACAGCTGAAAATATTTTGACATCTGAGGACATAAAAATAAGTAAATCATTGTTGTCACAAGCAATTAATAAGATCTAAATTGGCTAGAGAGTCTGTTAAGAACTGAGGATTCAGTAGTAAATGGATATGAGATGAGTATAATAAAGTAAATTATTAATTTAAAAAGCAAAAAGCACAAGGAGGATATGATTCTAGAGGGTAAGAAAATGTTAACAACTTTGGATACAGATATACTGAATTTGAGTTGTAAGTAATATTCATTGATTCTGAAAATTTATTTATGATCAGCTCATGGGAAGTACCACTGCCCTTAAATCTGAGTCTATGTCTCCCATCAAATTTTATGGAGACATGGGTCAAAACAGTCAACACAGTGAAGACAAATCACATAAAAATCTGCAAACCTTATTTGGAAGCTGAACTTTTATAATCCTTGAAATCATAGTAAGCCACTATTACTACTCAAGAGACTAAAATAGGATTAAGTGATTTCTTTATATCATAATGAAGAATCTCGACATTCACAAAAATCATCTATATGTAATCACTGACATGACTACTATATTTTCTTTACAAAAGTGAAAAATCTAGGTTCATTTTTATTTTTATAAATTTAAAAGGCACAAGGGACATTTTGTCATAAGGATATATTGCACAGTGGTGAAGCTTGGGTTTTTACTGTACTCATCACCTGAAAAATGTACATTGTGCCCATTAAGTGATTTCTCATTCGTCAGCCCTCTCAGGCTCCCTCCCTTCTGAGTCTCCAATGTTGACTACTTTGCCCTCCGCCCAATGCCCCTATGTACACAGTATTTAGCTCCCACTTACAAGTAACAACATTCAGTATTTGACTTTCTGTTTCCGAGTTACTTCACTTAAGATGATAGCATTCTGTTCCATCCATATTGCTGGAAAAGACATGATTTCTAAGTTCATTTTATTCAAATGTATGACTAGTTGTTCATAAGAAGGAAAATAATTTTTTTTGTTTATTGTTTGGTTTTGATAATCATATCATTTATTGAAAGACAGAAACCTGAATTGAAGCATTCATAAATTTTACCATTTATACATTAATATGTGTGTTCATATATGTATGTATTTATCTATTTATGTTGAGGGAAATATCAGACATACGAAAGACGTACAAATAATTATAATGTAAACATTTAATATCTACTATCCAAATATAAGCAATATTAATACCTATGATTTACCACCTATAGTAATAATAAAGTAATATTTAATTTCTTTTTTTTTTT